ATGAAAGGGAAGCAATACTTCCAAATTAATTCCTGGAAGCAAGTATCACTTTGATTCCCAAACCAGGGAAAGATGCAACTAAGAAAGAGAACTACAGGCCAATCTCCTTAATGAACATACATGCAAAAATCCTTAATAAGATACTAGCAAACAGAATACAGAGGATCATCAAGAAGATCATACATCCTGACCAAGTCGGATTTATTCCAGGGATGCAAGGATGGTTCAGCATACATAAGTCAATAAATGTAATACACTATGTTAACAGAGTCAAGGACAAAAACCATATGATCATCTCAAAAGATGAAGAAAAAGCATTTGATAAAATTCAACACCCATTCATGATAAAAAAAAACCTGCAAAAACTGGAATAGATGGTCTATATCTCAACTTAATAAAGGCTATCTATGAAAAACCAACAGCCAACATCATATTAAATGGCCAAAAACTGGAAACCTTCACGTTAGAATCAGGAAAAAGACAAGGATGCCCACTATCACCACTCCTCTTCGATATAGTTCTGGAAACATTAGCCACAGCAATTAGACAAGAGAAAGAAATTAAAGCAATAAGGATAGGAAATGAAGAAGTTAAACTGTCATTATTTGCTGATGATATGATACTCTACATTGAAGACCCAAAAAACTCCACGAAAAGACTTCTAGACTTAATTGACACTTTTAGCAGAGTGGCTGGATACAAGGTCAACACTCAAAAATCAATAGCCCTCTTGTACACAAACACCAGACTCACTGAGAGAGAATTTAGGGAAAGAATTCCTTTCACAGTAGCATCCAAAAAAATGAAGTTTCTAGGAATCAATCTAAGTAAAGCAGCAAAAGACCTCTAAACTGAAAACTACATCATTCTGAAAAAAGAGATCGAAGAGGATATAAGAAAATGGAAAGATATCCCCTGCTACTGTGTAGGAAGAATCAACATAGTGAAAATGGCCATAGTACCAAAACTGCTATACAGATTCAATGCAATGCCAATTGAAATTCCAACACTATATTTCACAGAACTAGAAAAAAGAATCCAAAAATTCATTTGAAACCAGAAGAGAATAGCAAAGCCATCCTAAGCAAAAGAGACAAGGCAGCAGGTATAACAATTCCCAATTTGAAACTGTACTACAAAACCACTGTGATAAAAACAGCGTGGTATTGGCAAACAGACAGATCTGAGGATCAATGGAACAGACTGGAAGATACAAAAACAACTCCAGATGTACTTAGCTACCTCATCTTTGACAAAGGAGCTGACCATCCTCACTGGAGGCAAGATAGTCTCTTTAATAAATGGTGTTGGAAAAACTGGATTTCAACCTGCTAAAGATTAAAACTAGACCCTTATCTTTCACCATGCACTAAACTAAAAATCCAAGTGGATTAAAGATCTAAATATTAAAAAATAAACACTTAACTTGCTGGAAGATAAGTTAGGCAGAACTCTGGAAGACACTGGCATAGAAAAGACTTTATGAACAAATCCTCAGTAGCATGGGAACTAGCAGAATTCATCAAGAACTGGGATCTCATCTTATTAAAAAGCTTCTGTACTGCAAAAGAAACCATCAACAGAACTAAGAGACAACCTACAATGTGGGAAAAAAAATTTTACCAGCTGCTCCTCAGACAAAGGACTATTATCTAGAATATATAAAGAACACAAAACAATCAGCCCCCCCAAGTATAAAGACCCGATTCAAAAATGGGCATCTGAAATGAACAGACATTTCTCAGACAAAGAAGTAAAAGCAGCAAGTATATGAAAAAAATGTTCCACATCATTGGTCATTCGAGAGCTGCAGATGAAAACAATGAAATTACACCTCATCCCACAAAGAATGGCTGCTATCAAGAAATCAACCAATAACAAATGTTGGCACAGTTGTGGGAGTGCACATATGGAGATACCTCAAAGAACTAGGATTAGAGGTTCCATTTGACCCAGCCATCCCTCTACTTGGTATCTTTCCAAAAGAATTTAAAAAATCATATCACAATGATATATGTGCACCCAAGTTTATAGGAGCACAGCTTGTAATAGCTAAAACTTGGAAACAGCCCATTTGCCCATTACTTGGAAACTGGATAAAGAAGATGTGGTTTTTCTATAATATGGAATACTACACAGGCATAAAGAATGAGAAATTAGATTCATTCATAGGAAAATGGATACATATTGAGGATATACTCCTAAGTGAAATAAGTAAGTCACCCATGTGTAAATACCAAATAGTTTCTCTGGTGTCAAAAACTGTAATAGTACATAGGATCTTAATGAGATAATTGACAATGTGATGTAGGAAGAAAAGGGTTAAAGTTGTAGGGAAAGTGAGAAGGGTAGGGGAAAGGTAAGAAGAGAAAAGAAAGAAATATGAGAAAATGGAAAAATGGAAATAAAATATTTTTCAATGAGGAGGGGAGGATTGGGTGAAGGGAGGGCAGGGACAAGGGGGAAAAATGAGAACCAAGACCTGTCATGTAAAGGTACAAGATCCCAGTAATGAATGTAACTGTACTGTATATCTAAAATGTACCAATAAACTCAATGAAGCAAATTTTAAAAACCCAAAATATAAATAAGGTTCAAAATTTATAATAATGTGAAATAGGAAGAAAAGGTCTAAAGGAATAGGGCAAGTGAGAGGGGTACAGGAAGGGAAAGAAGGGTAAAGAAAAATGTGAGAAAAGAAAAAAATGGAAACAAAGTCTTTCTAAATAGGGAAGGGTAGAGGGGCTGAAGGGAGGGAAGTGGGATGGGGCAAAATAAGAATCAAGATCTGTAATGTAAAGGTACAAGATCCCAATGATTTTTTTTT